CACGCCTATATCTGTACAATGCCTTGGTTTACAAACTGACATGTAGCCTAAGATAACCCGTGGATGGGAGAATATCACGCCGTCCCGTGTGTATGATTATAAGTATGCCTTAGTTTACACATTACAGTTGTAAAACTAATATTTATTCGACAGACCATTCACACTCTCTCTAGCACCACGGACAAACCTGAAACTTGACTGCCATGTTGGGATATGTTTGATATGTACGCTTCCTTATCAAGCAGAAGTGTTTCCTTGGCGTGCCGTAGATCTCTACATTACAGAGATCAAGCGTGATCCAACGGTACGAGGTATTAGATAATTACGAGGTGCGAGTTCAATAATAGTCCGGGGCGGTCATAAAGTGTTTGAGAACTTGTTCGGAATTGACAATATAAGGTTTATCACTACCCAGCATTTTTGCTGGTACTAAACTGTAGTACATTTACACGAATTATTGCATCGCAGCACGTTTAACACAACATAATCAACTCATTACAGGGATTGGAATTTCAAACTTAATGTAAGAATCTTTGTTCCAAACTAATTATTTCGAATAATTTCGTCATTTTATTCATTCTTAATTACAACATAACCTCGTTATATTTACACCATTTGTTAAGAGAAAATTTGGCGTCATAAAAGGGGTTTGGAAATAAAATTAGGGAAACACATTAAGGAATTTTTCAAGAAAAAAGGAAAAAGCCCCTTGAAATATGTTGGCGGTAAACGAGATGGCAAATAAAATAGGGGCATAATATCGAGGTTTTATTGTACGTAAAGCAAGAAAGTGAGTATAATGTTTAAAGAATTGTTATTGATATTTTTAGTTGTATATTTCAGTTTAAAAACAACCAGTTTGGAAAAAAACAAATATATATATATAAAATGACGTCATCTACATTGTATACCTCTCACGTTCACAACATAATTGGATAAAAGCAAAAATCCGATAATTGTATAACAGCAGTAATTTACGATCTGTTTATCTTTTCTGTATTTATCCAAAGCAGGATCTTAGGACACTTCTCAGACAGCGAACTAATTGATTTATGGTCCCCGTATCGACCATTATCAAATTAAACAACTTTTCAATGTTATAACCCTCATAATTACCTCCAAACGCAACGATCCAACATGTCAGACGACACAGCCCCATCACTTCCGGTTCCGGGAAAGAACGGCTTCGAAAATAAAAGTGTTGAGCCCTTTTTGTGGTACTAAGATCGCAAGTGACGTTATTCTGTAAGAAAATAATAAAATTTCTATCAGAAACATTAATGACTTTTATTACATGGTAACAAGGTAACGTTTTTGCAGTTTTATTTTTCTCCTACACAACTGTAGATTTTGTTTCCAAGCAGATGAGAACGGAACTTGAGTGCCCGTGAGTTCAGACTTTTGTTGACTGGTATATGCTGATGAGAATTTGATACTTATTGCTTTCAATGAGTACTCTCGTTGCTGGCACAATGGTAAGTCAAAAAGTGTTGTTTATGTTGTGACTTTTGCTACCAGACACATTCAACCGTGATCAAGCCGTTAAGGTGACGCCATACTGAATCCCTAGAGACAGTTATCACAACTTGTCAACCTCGCAAAGTGGATACAGGCTAGAACGTCATTTAAATTGCAATTGGCTTGGTGAGATCATGACTGTGAACTTTCAAAAAAGAGTTAAGGTTTCATTTCAATTTAAATCACAAGAAGGTATCAGCAGAGGAGCAAGGAAATAAAAATACAATGAATGATGCCTTAAGGTCTAGGATTAGTTCGTTATCGCATTTGGTATGTTAAAATATGTTCTTACAAGAAAACAGGTGATGTTTTACTAACATGTCTTTGAACGTGTAGCACATTGGTAACAACTGTTCAGAATCTCAATATGGGGTCGCGGAATACGTCCTTGAAATCATATATTGATAAAGCTATGACGTTTTCTCAAAGGCATCTCTCCTACCACCAGCTGATTACTGAAGTATGCGTCTTCAAATCAAAAGCCTTTTAACGTTAAGCTTTGGAGAAACCCCGACCTAGCATTATATCATCTTCTTGAAGAAAAACAAGATTAGCTGTTCATATGCTCTAGCCGCTTTTTAATTAGATCATCAGTCTGTGTGCACTGTCGGAAAACCGTACAAGTTTTCACTACATCAACTATTGTCTTATCCGTTTTTACGATCGATATGAGTCCTTGTAGGATACACCCTTTTAACTAAACGGCATTTAAGGAGTTTATTCAGCCACAATGCAATATAAGAATGTAGGTGCTTAAACACAACCTTAGTCCGCAGGAACCCTTAACGTTTTCCTCGTCCTTTTTCCTCAGTTCTAGTTTGAAATCTTTACAAATTGTATCTTAATAGTGTGCTAATTAGGTTTTCTGCGACGGCTGAAGAAAGTAGCGTATATGGCATTGAATCTGAGCAGTTAAAGGTGTATACCATTATCCGCAAACTGGCTTACATTTTACTGATAAACCTTTCACAGAACTTCAATTGTGATTGCCGATTTCATTAAATGAAACTGAAATCTACTCATTAGAACTTTTTAATTAATAAAACTGAAATGTACGTAAATCTAACTTACTGAAATAAGAGGTTTTCAGCAGACGATTTTATTCCATCATGTAATAAATATAAATGACAACAAAGAAGTCGAGCATCCCATCTCCCACAGAAACATGATACACTTAGGCTTTCCGTCGTATATTAACCTTCCAAAAAGTATTACTGATCAATAAATCAATATTTGTAGACGTGGTAAAGTAGACACATGTATCTGTGTTTTATTCTTATTGCGTTTTAACGGTTTTGATAGGCTTTCTGAGAGGTTACGTACCAGAAGATTATGAACTGGTTCCGAACGTTTCCTTATTAAAATGTATTGCTTTGACCCTCCTTCGATTTCCTGTCACTTGTCCAAGATCGTAAAAGTTTACAGTAGAAATAATACAATTTGTAGAACGCGTCTTGTCATGTAAGTCCAAAGAGAATCAATGAAATGCAGACTGGAATTTCTCTAACGGTGCATTCACATTTCTTTGACATTGTATGCATTACGCTATAGAATAACAGAGTTTCTCGTGTGCAGGATGAAGTGAAACACTTCCTTTTTAACAAATACAAAACTTGATATTTATATTTAACATGATGTTTTGTTCTTCCTTGAAAAGCTAAGCATTTCTTTTTTCCTTCCAAACCAATGACGTCAGAGTATTACGCCCTTTCACATTTCCTGGAGTAGGCAAACTCTTGCATAGTTCGCATTATTTGAGGGACATATTATTTCGCTTTATTCGCGGTTAGTAAAGATAGCGCAAATTTAAATACCCAGCATGTGCTAATACCTGAAATATACAGCAATAAAGCAAAAGATCTATAACCCATTTTCTGCCAAATAATGAAGATAAAACACTAATTTGATAGCGTATATTTTGTTATCTTGATAAAACACTTTTTAAATACATCCTGTAACTCAAATACAAAAATGCTTTCCTGAGCGTAATATTTTTACTTGGAAATGTTGCTTGAAATCTAGTCCCCGCGATATTAGTATTAGTGGGACAACCGTGAAATATTTGCCCGTTCAGTTTTTAGTCCGAATTTCGAAATCAATCATTTCATGAGTTTCAATTAAAATGCAACACTTTATACGTTTTTTCAGAATTTATAGACGAGAGTTGTAAAAGAACAGCCTCATTATCTCTGCTGTAGAGAATGCATCCCCGTCATTTATTGAATTGGTTTAATTGAATTTTACTCAATTGCATGTGTCACAAGCAAATCGATTCAGAAGTGAAAATGAAGATGATGTGATTAGTGAATTGTAAAACATAATCAATGCAGAAAAGTTAGGCCCTAAACTATGTGTCTTCTTGCCGAAGACTCGATTCGTGACCTGATCATGCCCGAAATTAGCACACAGTCACGATACGAAAATGTGACGAATGTTTCTCGATTTCATTATTTGATGTGCAATATTGAATAAAATTTGGGGTGGTCGGGTGGTGCAGTGGATAGCGCACTTGTCTTTCACCAAGGCGACCGGGGGTCGATTCCCCGATCGGACGTGAAAAGGTATGGGGTCACCCTTAAACAAGCCCAATGAAAAGACCAGGTATTCCGGAAGGGTATGCGTCTTCAACTTAATCGACGACACCCGTCATGTAAACCTTTAATGCCACGTCCTCACATCACGAACCCGGGTAGTGACAACAAAACAACAAGGCACTTTAATAAGTGAATAAAAACCCTTGTATCACAAACAGAAACAGCTTATAAGACCATCATCGTGACCATAAAACATGGCCATAGTCTTCCTCAAACTTGTATTTCTGGAAACCCTGTGTTGTCAGTTTGTCTGTCAGCACTCGACATATATCGAAGTAGCCATGGTATTAGGAGATATTGTCACCCAGATTCGATCGTTCTCACCAGATAATCCACTGTATATTTCAGTTTGGTCTTTGTTGTGGTTTTCACAAAATGCTTTCCAAAAATTAACAATAATAATAATAATAATAATAATTCGAGGTTCTTATATACCGCTTTATCACAACCTAGTTCGTAGGTCGAACAAAGCGGTTCACAAGTTATTATCCATGGTGTTAGGGCCTTTGCAACCAGCCAACATCTTTGTGCCGTGCCGTGACTCGAACCCGCAACCCTTCGGTCACGAGCCCGGCGTCCTACCACTAGACTACCGTGCCTGCCAACAACCATATACTTACAGTGTAATCTTCGCCTTTCTTGGGAAAAACTGCCATAACAAAAGAAAGAAGGCGTGTTTTCGGTTTGGTATGAGGAACGGTAGAGTAAAGAGTCGAAAAGTCAAAGTAGGTACAGTTTCATTGGTTATCAAGCAAGCCTAGCACTCTCACGCACGGGCGGTGCAATTGTGTTTGTAGACAAAGATTAAGTTACAGTGATAGATGTCTGCAGTCACAACTACAGATCTATCATGTAGATCGTTGGGTTCGGTTTCGACATCGCGTTTGTGAAAACAGCTGTGACTGGGACAAGGGACCAATCGGTCTTGGAACGTCGCGAAGCGTTTGAAACGTACATAGTCTCTTTATAAATACATTTGATACATTCATATTTCAAAAGAATCTTATTGAAAACACCCTTGTCTTATTTCGGTGTATTTCGTCGTGGAATATTACCGGTTAGGACTGCACGATGAAAACAGTAGAGGAACATTAAGTAAAGCTTCAAGTTTTAACGTCGAACAGAAGACATTTGTTATGAGGACAACCTGGTTCCGCAAGGCTGTGCTGTACAGAGCTCAATCAAGGCCAATTTATAAATTCTGACCAAATGCGTTAACTTTACGATTCCTGAATATTTTGCAACTTACTTTTCTTTGAAACTTACCATAACATTTCTAAATAGTCAAACAACTATTTCAAAGTGTCTGGCAATTTGTCGCCGGTATGCTTATAGAGTGCAATCTGTAAACACAGACAGGTTCTGTATGAGCTCAAGGGAATATTTAACACGGTAGTAATGGCTTCCTGGTTGTCTGTACCGCAGAGAAATCTGTATCTAGTTCCGGCCACATTTATCTTCCTAACAGTACAGCGTGAGTGCTGTATTCAGACATAGACACGTTCTTGTAACACTTTTTAGGATGCAATGTTAATGTTTGCATTAGTGTTCTGGTGTGTCACTGCGAGAGTTACACTGTAGCATGATTGGTTCCCATTGTATCAGTATCTAGACAGTTAGTGTAATTGTTACGGCAATGCCTCTTATTGTGTTAATATCACATGGTATTACCTCGAACTCTGTAGTATAAGTAAATCTTTGCTAGGACACGTCTTCGTAGTCTTGAGAAATGGTTTCAGTGATACGACGGTAGTGTCTTGTCTTCACTGGTATTATTATCAGTGACACGATACTGCCTCGCGTTCTCGTGTATTTTGTATCATTGATACGTGCCTCGCGTTAACGTTCTAGTGTGCTTGTATCATTGATACGTGCCTCGCGTTCTAGTGTGTTTGTATCATTGATACGTGACTCGCGTTCTAGTGTATTTGTAACATTCATTCGTTTCTGTCTCCTGTTCTAGTGTGTTTGTATCATTGATACGTGACTCGCGTTCTAGTGTATTTGTAACATTAATACGTGCCTCGCGTTCTCGTGTGTTTGTCTCATTGATACGTGCCTCGCGTTCTAGTGTGTTTGCATCATTGATACGTGCCTCGCGTTCTAGTGTGTTTGCATCATTGATACGTGC